GGTGTATACAGATGCCTATGTGTATATTTTCTTGTCTGTTGGTGCAGCAAAGACTTGTTTTTGCAGCAAGAGACTAACACAAATACCTTCCTGGAGATTGCTACAATGGAAGGCACTAATTTAGCCATATACAATGGAAATTCATCAGTCTTACAGAAAAGCTTTACCGAGACGCATACACATAAATTACCTATGAACCAAATGCAAATAGCTGGACATTATTCCTAAAGGAATGATCTGAAAAATCATTGAGGTCTGCTTTGCTGCCAGAATTGGGGTGATAGTGTATTATATTCTGTCCTCGAAATTACAGTGGTGCCTTGCATTACGACGCATTGAAGTCTGCTTTGCTGCCAGAACTGGGGTGATAGTGTATTATATTATGTCCTCCAAATTACAGTGGTGCCTCGCAATACGACGTTAATTTGTTCCAGTGAAATCGCTGTAAAACAAAAATGTCGTAATGCGATTTTTAAAAGCCCATAGAAACACATTAAAACTTGATTAATGCTTTGTGATGATCGGTTCCCGAAGCAGGGAACCGATCATCGCAAAGTGAAATTCCCCCATAGGGAACATCGTTTTGTGATCACTTTTGCGATCGCAAAAACATCTACGGCTAGCGATTTCGTTGTCAAACAGAGCGCCCGTTAAGTGAGGCACCACTGTACTGAACTTTCTGTTCAGTATCCTTCTTAGCAACAGTGAGAAGCCTGTTTTTCAGCCAGGGAGCTGATTTTTAATTTTGATAGAGCCTTCATGGGAGTGTTGTGGCAGTAGATAGAACTGAGGGACAGAACCGGTATAGATGGAAGGCAGGTATAATTCTTGTCTCTTTGGGCATTTTTTCCACTGAAGGTGCGTAAACTGGCGACTCTGTCACCAATGAGTGGCACTAGTCCTCATTGTTCTTTCAGAACTACTGTCCTTTCTTTGATCTACTCCCACTGGCTCTCCCAGCCACCTCCATCTTCATAAATAGAAAAAAAAATCAGTAAAGAAGATTGAACAGAGGTGGGAAAAATGGAGTGAACTGTCGGCTTCCTGAAGGGCAGGGTATGAAACTGCAAACTGGCCTGAGGTGTGTTGTTTCTTCCTCCCCCTCCCTCCATTTTCTAAAGCAGTTTTCAACAAGAGTTTCCACCAGCTGCTTCCAGCTGTGCGATCGTCTTTGGTAGAAATATTTCCAGTTAGCCTTGTGGTACCTTAAGAAAAGAGTGTTTTGAAGAAACGTAAAAAAGTACTCTAAAATAACACTTCGGGCAGCAGCACAGTGACTCTACGCCTAGGCAAACAGGCGCCAGGCAGAGGGGGATAAATTTTTTATTTTTTCAAACATGAGTGAATTTTGTTTTAGTGAAATGCAGTAGCTCTCTCACGCTTCAGCTTTTCTCAACCTAAATGTGCCCTCCAAATGTGATGACTATAATTCCCACAATCCCCAGAAAGAAACATACCTGGAGTGTGCTAGATTACAGTCGCTGTGGAGAGTCTGGGGATTATGTCTCGTGTCCATGAAAAGGAATATGTCCTCTTGCAAATAATATATTTGAAAGACATACCCGTGGTTATATTAAAATGTCAGAATCTTTTGATTGCCAAATATATGCCTGTATAATAATTAGGCACCCGTTAACTTTTGATGAATGTTATGCCAAATGAATACTAAATAATTGCCTGATTTTCTAGATGTTTGGCACAGTTTGAGATGCCAGGTAATGTGCTAGACTCTTAGACTGTGGAAAACCTTTTTTTAAAAAAAATGTTTATGCTCATCTGTCATGATGCTCACTTGAATGGCTTGGGAACCTGCTAATGTTTAGTCTGATAATCCTCACCATTTTGTGGATCAGTTGGCTATTATGAAAGGAGGAGAAAAGGGACATTATTTTGTATCCTGGAAGTGTTTGATCTGACTATGGTGACACAGGACTTCGTGTAAATGGCTGCAGCATACTCTACCGGGTTGTTGTTATGTGCCATCACGTCGCCTCCAGCTGATGGCAACCCTGTGAATGAACACTCCAAAATGTTGTGTGCTCAGCTTCTGCTCAGCACTTGAAAACACACATCCATGACCTCTTTTAGGGAGTCAGTCCATCTCATATTTGGTCTTCCTCTTTTCCTGCTGCTTTCCACTTTTCCCAGCATTATTGTCTTCTCGAGAGAATCCTGCCTTCTCATGATGTACCCAAAGTAGGACAGCCTCAGTTTCAACATGTTTGCTTCCAAAGGTAGTTCAGACTTGATTTGACCTAAAAACCACTTGTTTGTCTTTCTGGCAAACCAGAGTATTCATAAAGCCCTCCTCCAGCACCACATTTCAAACAAATTATTTTTTTTCCCCTGCCGGTTTCCTTAGCTATCCAGCTTCCACACCCATACATGGTGATTGAAAATACAAGAGTATGGTTGGTCTTGGTCTCCAGTGACACATCCTTACACTTGATATTTTTTTGAGTTCCTTCACTTGCTGTCCTTCCTAGCCTCAATCTTCTTCTGATTTCTTGCCTGCCGTCTTCATTTGGACTGATGATTGAACTAAGGTATACAAAATCTCTTAACTATTTCAATCTCTTCATTGTCAACCTTAATGCTGTATAGTTCTTCTTTAGTCATTATTTTTTTGTCTTCTTAACGTTCAGCCGCCGTCCTGCTTTGGCACCATCTTCTTTCACTTTCCCTAGCCGTCGTTTGAAGTCATGACTGCTTTCTGCCAGTAAGGCTCTACCTTGGACTGCCTTTAAAAAGCATTTGGAACTTCAGCTGGTTCAAAATGCTGCAACTCAACCGCTGGTTCCAAGGGGCATATACGGTAACTCCTCTGGTACATCAGTTTCATTGGCTTCTGGTACATTCCTGAATTCGATTCAAAGTCCTATTTATGACCTATAAATCCCTTTATGGCTTGGGTCCCGGCTATTTGTGACTGTTGTGTCGTTTTAACTGATTGAGACCACCTTCAGTGGA